CACATTCCCGCAGGGGTGGGATCCCGGTGATGTCCCCAGGAGCCCGGCAGGGTTGCGGGGACGCGGGTGGCATGCGSGGAGCAGGTGGAGAATATTTTCTTACCGGGATCTTTTCCTTGGAAAATCCTCATCCCCAGGGAGCGGGGGATGCTCCAGCACCGCGGCTCCTCCACGCGCGGGTCCCGGGGGCTAAAAGCTCCTCCGCCGGCTGGAGGGGACTCCCAAACTTCCCAAAAAACCCTTCCCGACGGATCCCCAGGGCAGGAGGAGCCCCACCTGCCTTCCCGGGTCACTTTTCGATCGCCGCCTCCCGCGGACAGCGCAGCCGCTCCCCGGGCTGAGCGCGGCGAGTTCATCGCACCGGGGCTGTGACCGGGGGGACACCGGGGCTGTGACCGGGGGGACACCGTGGCGGGGAGGCTCCCGAGGGACCCGCACCCCCGGGCGAGGCCAGGCTCCCGTTTAATCGATCCGCTCCCTTTTCCCGGAGCCAATCCTGTTGGATTCAGTGCCGCATCTCGGGCCCGTGGGTGCCCTTCGTGCCCCCCGCCCGCTCTGGGGGGCACGGGGGTGACGGGCGCTGTGCCCTCCCTCGAGCCCCCGCTTTAAAATCCCCCGAGGAGCCACTTTTACACGCGCTGCTCACCCCGAGCCCCCCACCCCTTTTAGCTCTCCCAGACTTTTGCGGGAAACACTCACGATCTTCCCACCGAGCTGGGGATAAAACTCCACAGGAATCCCGCGGCCGCTCTCTCGCCCTGTCCGCCTTTTGCGGGTCTGCTCCCGGGCGGCATTTTTTGGGGGCGAAACGGGCGGATTTTGCCGGCGGATGGGCGGCAGCGCGTCCAAGRCGGAGTCCCCCGGGGAAGTGCTCCGCGCCCCCTAAAGCGCCACCGTCCCCTCCCGCAGTCCCCCAAGATGTCCCAGCCCGTGGGTCCCGTCGGGCCGGAGGCGGGGCAGGTGCGTGTCCCTGTCCCCCGTGGGAACGCGCGCGGGGAGGCACCCGGGGGGACCCCGCCGCCTGAAGGGAGGGGGCTTTGGGACCCCCGCYGTGTCCCGGCTGTGCCCTCCCGCAGCCCGGGGGGTGCTCGGGATGCTCTGCGAGGGGGTCCCCGGCGGCGGCGGGGCCCCGAGGGGGCGGGCAGAGGGGGGCGGCCCCCCCGGCCCTGCTCGCCGCGGCCATTTAGGAGCGGGCGGGAGCCAATGGGCGGCGGCGCCGCGGCCGTGACGGCCGGGATTGACGTGATTCCCACGTCAAATTGATCCCGAGGAGCGGCGGGGGCTCCCCGCGAGCGGGGCTCGCTCCCGGCGCCGCCAGGACCCCCCGGCCCCGCCGCCCCCCGTGCTCTCTATGCCGGGGCTGCGGTGCGGCCGCCCGGCGCTGCCCCCTCCCTGCGCCGGGCCATGGGTGAGTGCTGCTGGCCCCGGCCGGGCCCCGGGACGGGCTCCGGGACGGGCTCCTGGCGGAGCAGGGCACCGGGAAGGGGCAGGAGGCGGCCAAGGGTTCGGGGGTGCCGTGCCCGGCCGGGAGGGCTCCGTGCTTCCCCGTCCTCCCCGCTCCTCCTTCGCTTTTGCTCCGCTCTCTTCTTGCGGCTCCTTCTCCCGTTCTCGTTCTTTTGACTTCTYGCTGTCTTTTTGTCCCACTCTCCTTTATCCCCCTTTTTCCCCCTCCTTGTTTCTGATTTTTCTTTTTCTCTGCTTCTTTCCCTGTCTTTCCTTCCCCTTATTTTTTTACTGTCACTTTTATCACATTTATTTTCTGTCCCTCCTTCTTTCTCTTTTCCTCCTTTTTTCCTCCTGCCCCTTCTCCCTTCCCTTCTGCTTTTTTCTCTCTCTTTCTCTCTTCCTCTCTCATTCTCGTTTTCCTTGTCTTTTTTCCTTTTTCCCCCTTCCTTTGCCCCCTTCCTTTTTCCCCTTCCTTTTTTCCCTTCCCTTTTCCCTTTTCTTTTATCTTACCCTTTTGCACTTCTTTTTCCCCTCTCTTCCTCCCCCGCCCCCCGTCCCTTTCTCCGCTTCTTTTTCCCCTTTCCTTTTCCCCTCTTTTTCCTCTCCCTCATCCCTTTTTTCTTCCCGCTGCAGCGCCGTCCCCATCCCTCGCCCCGCGGGTACCGCGACCGACCCCGCGCCACCCCATTCCATGCCATTCCATGCCATTCCATGCCATTCCATGCCATCCCACCCCATCCCGTGCCCTACCGCCCCGCAGAGCACACGTACGGCGAGGTGAACCAGCTGGGCGGCGTGTTCGTGAACGGGCGCCCGCTGCCCAACGCCATCCGCCTGCGCATCGTGGAGCTGGCGCAGCTCGGCATCCGGCCCTGCGACATCAGCCGCCAGCTCCGCGTGTCGCACGGCTGCGTCAGCAAGATCCTGGCCCGCTACCACGAGACGGGCTCCATCCTGCCCGGGGCCATCGGCGGCAGCAAGCCGCGGGTCACCACGCCGGCCGTGGTCAAGCACATCCGCGACTACAAGCAGGGCGACCCCGGCATCTTCGCCTGGGAGATCCGCGACCGCCTGCTGGCCGACGGCGTGTGCGACAAGTACAACGTGCCCTCGGTCAGCTCCATCAGCCGCATCCTGCGCAACAAGATCGGCCCGCTGGCTCCCGCCGGGCCGCCCCCAGCCGCGCTGCCCTGCGCCCACATCTACCAGTACCCGTACCCCGGGCCCGCCGCCCCGCCGCCCGCCAAGGCCGGGGGACACCCCGGGGGACACCTCGGGCCCCCCGCCGTGGCGCTGCCCCGCTCGTGGCCTTCGGCGCACTCGGTCACCAACATCCTGGGCATCCGCACCTTCGTGGAGCAAGCGGGTGGGTACCGGCAATTCCGCTTCTCCCCMTCCCTCTCCCCGTTTTTTGTTGGTTAGTTTTCTGTTTGTTTGGTTTTGGAGGGGTTTTTTTGAGTTTTAGCCGATTTTTTTGTCGGTTTAGGGTTTTTTTTTTTGTCTCTTTGTGTTGGCGGGTTTTTGTTGGAACGGTTATTTTGTTTGTTTCGAGGGTTTTGTTTGTTTCGGGTTTTTTTATTTGTTTCGTGGGGTTTGTTTGTTTCGTGCTTTTTGGCTCGTTCGGGGATTTTTTGCTTGTTTCGGCTTTTTATTTGTTTCGTGCCTCTTCGCTCGTTTCGTGCCTTTTTGCGTCTTTCCTTCTTTTTTATTAGTTTCAGCTTGTTAGTTTATTCCGGTTTTTTTTTTTTTTTTTTTTTCTTTTTTTTCTTTTTTTTTTAAATTTTTTTTTTGCTTGTTTCGTATATTCCCCCCCTTTCCTCCCCCTTTTTCCCCCTTTTTTTCTCCCAAGGGCCTCCCTCCGCTCTACCAGCCCGTCGGGGCGGCGGGGCCAGATGCGGCCTCGGCTCAGCCACATCTTGAACTTTTTATGAAAAATGTGGAAAATATTTTCCTAGGGATGATAGATTGCCGACCGCAAATTCGGAGCCCTGAATTTCGCTTCGCAAAGGGGGATTAAAAAAAAGAAATATGGAAAGGGTGGGGGGGAAAAGAGGGAGAAAAAAAAAAAACAAACTAGGAGAGGAAAAATTGAGGGGAAAGGAGCAGACAAGGCAGCTCGGATCCGGCCTCCAGGATTCTTCCGAGGAATTTGGGAATTTTGGGGCTCGGGGAGCACCGGCACCGCCAACCCTGAGCCCCGGCGGCTCCAGCGGGGGACAAGCGGGCCGTGGCAGGGGGTTGCGGGTCCTTTTATCCTTCCAAAAGCCAGAAAGTAAATCAACCGCATGCGTTTCCCCCCGTGCAATCATTTATCCTTAAAATTCCGATGTCACTTCTCTAAATCCCCTTCGTCAGGAGAGAAATTTGGGCCCCTAAATTATCGGGGATTGGGAATTGGGCGGCGGGGGAGCGAGGGGTTGACGGCAAGAGGGGTTTGGGGGTGACACCACGCCCTCTCCCCGCGGTGTGATCCCAAATTTCGGGATGTTGGGAGGGAACGCTGATTCCCGTGCCCCCAGTCCATGGGGTTATATAACCGGAGGTTTGGAAAAGCGGGATTTCCCACTGTTCCACCCCTAAAGCTGCTCGGGCCTCTCTCGGAGGGTTCGGGGCTGACACTTTGCTCCGCAGGGGCTCTGGCTGGCACCGAGGGGACCGCGTATCCCCCAAAAATGGAGGAGTGGCCCAACGTGAACAGGAGCGCCTTCCCCGGGCCGGGCCAGGCGGTCAACGGGCTGGACAAAGCTGCCATGGACGGCGACATCAAATACCCTCAGGTGAGAGCTGGGGACAGGAGGGGACTGGGTGGGAGGGATGGCAGGGATGGGACTGGAATGCGACAGCGGGGGACAAGGCGGAGGGCCGGGAAGGGGCCAGGGGGGTGGGCAGAGAGCACAGAGAGCCCTGTCCTCCCCAGAGCGGGATCCCCCGTGCGGGGCGAGCTGCTCCGAGCCCGTGTGACTGTCCCGGTCACCCCGTGTGTCTGTGCGTGTCCCCAGCCCGGCGCGGGGCTCTCCTCCATGGGCACCTTCCTGCCGGCGTGCGCCTACCCCCCCTCCACCCAGCCCGGCGTCTACGGCGGCTCCCCCGGCGCCTACATCCCCCCGGGACCCCCCTGGCAGCCGCAGGGGACCCCCCTGGGCCACCACGGCCACGGCGTGACCGTCCACGGCGGCGACCTGGCCATGGCCTTCAAGCAGCCCGGCAGGGAAGGTGAGCGGGGACAGCGGGGGACAGCGGGGGACAGGGCGGGAGGGGCCCCCAAGCCTCAGGCAGGGGTTGAGGGGTTGATTCGACAGATCCATCCTATTTCCCCATCCCGGTATTCCGTGGATCCCCGCCCAGCTCAGCCGCCACACCCCGATTGTGCCTGCGTTATTCCAATAAACCGGAGTTTTCCTCCTCGTTCGCGYTCGCTGGGAATCGCCAGGGAATGGGGAAGATTCCCGCGCTGTTCATCCCCCGGGAATGTGGGGATGTGGMGGGGCAGAGCAGGAGCCTTTCCCCGTGTTTCCCGCAAACTGACGCCGATTCCAAGAACCTTTCAGGAAAAGAAACCTTAAGCAGGAATCATTAATTCCTAGTGATTAACTATTAAATGACAGCAATTATTTAACGATTYGTTTATAATTATTAGTTAACATAATTAACTGTTATTTTATTTAATTGGTTCCCGCGATTATTAATTAATTACTTCCCTCCGAACGCTCCGCCGGGAATCCCGGGGGAGCAATTTGAGGCCGTCAAATGAGGCGTTGCTTYTATCTCCTGTTAATTATTTCGCCTCATTAATAGAGCTCAATTCCCTCGTTTTAAAAAAAAAACTATTTTCCTCCCTGGCTATAAAATCCCCTTTGATATTTTTGTCATTTTCCCCGCCGTATTTGACTTTCTATCATTTAAATTAATTTGCAATTAATTTCC